CACCCTTTCCACCATGATGCTTTGCCTCACTTGGAGACCCAAGGAATGGAGCTGTCTGTGGACTGAGATCACTGAAACCATGAGTGCCAAACAAACTTTCCTCCTTAAAATTGTTCTAGTCAGGTCTTTTCTTCACAGTGACAAAAAGCTGACTACAACAACTGTTGTCTTTCATTCTAACTTCAAATTTGTGTTACCTTAATTTTTTGTAACTTTATTCACTGGCTATAAATTTCCCTAAAGCAGTACTGTATAAATGTCACACATCTGTTTTGAAGGAGGTTCTAGAATCTAGGTTATTAAACTCATAGTAAAAATCTGTACACTTTAGTAGCAGTGATAGATTAAAGTATWGGAAGAGACTTTGCAAATAAATGCATCAGAGATATGTAAAAAGAGGCATATAAGGAAGATAACAAAATAGAAAAGAACTAAAGAGCAATCAAACATTTCAAAGAAGGACTGACATTCAAAATTATCAAATAATTTTGAAGTTAAATAAAACAGTAAAAATGACACTTAAAAAGTTATTAACTAGCCAGGTACAGTGGTGGAAACCTGTAATCCCAATGACTTGGGAGGCTGATGTAGGAGGATCACAAGTTCAAAGTCAGCCTCAGCAAATTAGGCATTGAGCACCTTAGTGAGATGCTGTTTCAAAATAAAAAAATAAAAGGGCTGGGGATGTGGCTCAATAGTTGAAAGTCCCAGGATTCAATCACTGGTACCCAAAGGAAAAAAACAAACAAACAAAAAAACTACTAACTACATTCATTGCAGGTGAATCTGAAAAGTTGAATAACTGGCATTTTTGTTAAAAGTCTAACTTTTGTTAAAAGTTAATATTTATTTATTTATTTTTTAGAGAGAGAGAGAGAGAGAGAGAGAGAGAGAATTTTATTTTTAATATTTATTTTTTAGTTCTCGGCGGACACAACATCTTTGTTGGTATGTGGTGCTGAGGATCGAACCCGGGCCGCACGCACTCCAGGCCAGCGCGCTACCAGTTGAGCCACATCCCCAGCCCTAATATTTATTTTTTAGTTTTTGGTGGACACAACATCTTTATTTTATTTTTATGTGGTGCTGAGGATGGAATCCAGCACCCCGTGCATGCCAGGTGAGGGTGCTACCGCTTGAGCCACATCCCCAGCACCTAAAAATGGTTTCTTTATGTCCCATAAACTCTTAAATATTTGAAAGAAATCAAGTCATAGGCCARTAAAATGTCTTGTACAAGAATGGTTACAGTAATTTTATTTATAACAGTGAAAACATGGAAACAAGATGTCCATTAACAGAAGAACAAATAAAGAGATTTATTTATTTATTACATCATACAATGTAATACTAGTCATCATTAAAAAGAAATATGTTACACATATCAGTTTGATTTCTTTCAAATATTTAAGAAAAGAGTTGACGGGGCATAAAGAAATCATATGTTTAACTTTTTACAAAACTGCAGGTTATCCAACTTTTCAGACTCACCTGCAATGAATGTAGTTAGTAAATTTTTTTCTTTTGGTACCAGTGATTGAATCCAGGGGCTTTTAACTATTAAACCACATCCCCATCCCTTTTTTAAATTTTAATATGTGTAACATATCAATTTCAAATATACTATGCTGAATGAAAAAAAGGAAGAGTACACACTGTATGATTTCACTTATTTGAGATGTTAAAATATGAAAAACTAGACTATAGTATTAGAAATCATATCAAAGTTTGTTTCTGGTGGGAGGTTTGACTGGGAACAGGCAGCAGGGATCTTTCTAGGGGTGACAGAAATGTTCTGTATCTTGACAAAAATTATTCTAAACAGATTAAAGAGTTTACATAAGGCCCGAGCATTTCACTATATGTAAAGTATAAAAAAATTAGTGGCAAAGATCTGATTGAATCTTGTTTGATGGTAACATGTCCAACATAGTATGCTTTCAAATCTTATGTTTAGACTCTTCAGAGTAAAATGCTGGGGAATATAACTTAATAGATTTATTGTTTAATTTCCTCAGTAATTAGTTTTAGTAGTAGTTAAGACCACACACTATCTACAAAGTACAAAGAATGAGGAGATGTGATTAGAAATAGATGTGTGCTTGGTAGAAGAAGAAAGGTGGAGGGAAAACCATATGGGAGACTTGAGTTTGGTTATAAGGGGAGAGGAAGTAAACAGTATATATATTTTTTTTTTTTTTTTTTTTTTTGTGTGTGTGTGTGTGTGTGTGGTACCGGAGGATTAACCTAGGCCTCAGGCATGCTAGGCCAGAGCTCTACCACTGAGCTACACACCCAGCCCCATATATATATATAATTTGAAGTAGGGTCTCACTAAGTTGCTGAGACTGGCTTTCAACTTGCAATCCAGATTGTGATGACTGATAAATGTCTAAGGAATAATAGTTAAGAAACAAAGGAATAAATGAATAATGTCTAGGTTCTAATACTGACTCTTCACCATTAACTTTGTGATCTCAGTTTGGCTTATTCTTGTTTATTTTCTTTAGGCCTTAATTTATACTTCAGTAGAGTTAAACATGTTTAACAGACTTTGAAAGTTTCTGGAGGCAGTGGCTCAGGCCTGTAAATCTGACCTGTAATGCCTCAGGAGGCTCCTGAGTCATCACAATCTAGTGGGTTTAACTTTTTTTTTTTTTTTTGAACCAGGGATTGAACTCAGGGGCACTCGACCCGAGTTTCTTAGTGTCTCAGCATTGCTGAGGCTGACTTTGAATTTGAGATCCTCCTGTCTCAGCCTCCCGAGCCACTGGGATTACAGGTGTGTGCCACAATGCATGGCTGGGTCTAACTTTTGATAAGCATTTTAAGTGGTTTTATTATGTGTAATAAACAATTACACAAATACCTACATAGTTAATATGGAAACATAAAAAGTTCTTTATGGAAGGTCATAATGATGCTGGATACTAGGAAATTTGACTTGGTAACAACAGAAATGAAGTCAAGTCATAGGAGTACAAATATATAGACAAAACCTGTATTGGAACCTTGACTTGGGTAGGGAGACAGCTTCCACAAGAAAGTGTCAGGGTAGCTTCATGGAATAAGAGAGTTAATTTATTGGTGGCTTGCAGAGGTGGGGTTTATATATGTTGATTGGCCTTAAGATGCCCTTTCAACTTATTTTAATAAATTAACTTTTGCCCTATAAGAATAAATTAACTTGGGGAGGCACTAAGCAACTCAGCAAGACCCTGTCTCTACAACAGGGCTAGGGATGACTCAGTGGTTGAGCATCCCTGGGTTCAGTTCTCAGTATCAAAAAAAAAAAAAAAAAAAACGAATTAAGTGAAAGCAACCTGGCTTTAACGATGTACCTGGTACTGTTTGAGGATGGATAAATGGATAACATTTGGTTATGTGACAAATTGTGAATTAAGTGAGACATTTTAATTACTGTTATGCTATAAGCCAAGGCTCAGGAGTGTATTTGCTCTTTGTCCCTATGGTGGTCTCTGATGATATAGGATAGTCTATGAAAAGTTAAAATTACAAAAAATTTAGTTTGAAGATCTTAATTAGCTTTTCTCCATGATTCTCTAGGGCTGCAGTGCAATCAGACATTCAAGTGTAGAAAACAAAAGTGAACTGCTGGCATCTTATTTGGTTATAGCATTTTTTTTTTTTCTCTTACTGGAGTCAGCAGGCCCTTGGAGGGACTGAAGCTCAAAACTCAGCTATTTATTGCAAATGTAGGCTCAGGTCAGGGTTTATGGTTAGCTTATGTATTGGTAGTTTAGTGGTAAAGACTCAAGTAAGGAGGCACTCTAGGGCCTACGCTTACTATAACAAGGGGGATTTTAATTAGAATCAGTAATGTGAGTGAGGAAGGCAGTAGGTAGAAGCCAGATTAAACAGGGCCTTCTAAATCATAGTTATGCAGTTCTTCGGTGGTGGTAGTGGGTGTTTCCCATTCCCACCCACCTCATCCAGGAAATTTGAACTTGACTGTCCAGTTTGACTCAGCATCTTCTCTCATCCTTTCTGAAGAAGTTACACTTAAAAGTTTTTAAAGATGAACAGGATCCAGAGAGCCAAAGGAGAACGGGAATTCCTGTCCCAAGGACCAACACTTCGAGGTCTTCAAACCTGCAGAGGTGGACTGCTGAAGAAACTGGAAATTGTGCTAAGTTGCTGGAATGAGTGGAGTGGGAAGAGGCTGTAGGTAGGAGCCAGATTAAACAGGGCCTTCTAAACCATATTGTTATGTAGTCCTTCGGTGGTGGTGGATGTTTCCCATTCCCACCCACCTCATCCAGGAAATTTGAACTTGACTGTCCAGTTTGACTCAGCATCTTCTCTCATCCTTCATTAGCAGTTGGGGGCGGGGGGCGGCCCCGTATCAAGCTTCCTTCCACCCACTGGTCAATTCCTTCTTTCCTGGCTCTCAGATTTCCCTGATTCCTTGACTTTTTATCAGAGCCCTTCTGGGTGCTCTTATTTCACTTCGCCCAGTCCCACCCCTCGACTCTCAACTTTGCAGTCCCTGACATTCAGGCGCCCTTCAAGGCCAGGAAAAACCAGCCAAGTGAATACTTGAAGGACATTAGCAATTTAAAGAGGTCTCACCCATCCTGCACCTTTARTCGGAACAGTGGCTTTCCCAACACCCCACTTCAACTGTTCCGCCCCGACTACTCTGTGGATGGTTTTATTTGCAACTGTCTCCTCAGCGCACAGCCACCGAGGGAAGGGGACCGTTACAATCTTCCCGAATGTTATTATCACACGTCCGGGCCACGTCTCCAAACCAGGCCCTCCTCTGGGCCCGCAGGTAACACCGCAGACGCGACAGAGCCTTGAGAGCACACTGAGGTCTCCACGGTAGTCCGGCGACGCGCGGCCGAGCGGGACCAGGCCGCAGCCCCGACGCCGGAAGCTTACGGGGCGCGAGCGGGAGGGCGCAGCCGGCGCACAGGGGGCGGGGCTCCCGCGCCGGTCACGTGACGGCCCGGCGGCGGCAGCGGCGGCGGCGGCGGCGGCCGCGGCGTCTTCAGTGGCGCCCAGTGCAGGATGGTGCTGGAGGCGGCGGCGGCCGTGGTGGCGGCGGCGGCGTTGTTGGCGGCAGCGGGAGGGGGAGCGGTGGCGGCAGCGGCGCCCACGGGTGGTATAAAATGGCGGATTTCGAAGAGTTGAGGGTGAGCGGGGGCGCGGGAGCGGGGACCGGAGGCCGCGGCAGAGGGTGGGGAGGGAAGCGGGGAAGCCGCAGCGTCGACGGCCGCCGCCTACTTGTTTCGCTGGGGGCCGGTTGGCGAAGCCCTGCGACCGGCCACCGAACGGGCCCGAGCGCGCGGGGGAGGGGAGCGAGCGGGCTGAGGACGCGGGAGGCTGGCCTGGGCCGAGGGCTGAGGACCGCACACCTGGCGCGGGGGCCGGGTACCCTCGGGAGGCACGTGGACTGACCCCTGAGCCTGTAGGGCCGCAGCTTTTGGTCACCGCCTTGGCAAGAGCTGAAGGTGTCCGTGGCGATTCAGAAGCCCTCATACTTGATACTCAGTTGTTGGAGGACCGTTTTCTGCGACGTGAAGTTGGCGTTTAGGAATTTTTCTCTCCTGCTTTTATGATTGAAACTACCGATTAGTCAGATCTGTCACGAGAAAAGGCCTCTTCCTCCCACCCGTGCTTCCCATGTATTGGAGAGAAGCGTGGTCTTTTGGGAACACTGCATTCGTGATCGACCTTAAACCTTGATATGAGTGCGGTGGTTAAGAAATCTGCAAAGTCCATTTGTTTGGTCTATGCACTCCTTCTGCTCTTGAAAAGAAATAATTTTTCTTAGCCCTAGACTAAAGTCATAAGTTTATTGTTGATACCTCTGTGTAGTAAGGGTTTGAAATGGAGTTGTTTGAGGTTAAATGGAAAAAGTTGATTTTTTTTCCCCACCAGATTGATAACCTTTAGAGAATCTGTAACTGAAACAAAACTGAATGGATCCCTGAATTATTGGCAATATATGGGATGTTTGCAGATTGAACTACATTTATTAAAATCAAGATTTCTAAGTAAAGATGAGTGTGAACTAAGATGAACTGCGACCTAGTTTGCATGAAACATACGTGTGATATCAGAGTTACTTTATCGAATTCGGCAAGTTTCACTTGTATGTTTATTATTGTTTGGGGGATGGCGTGGGGAAAAGATGTAGTCTGGTTAGGAATCCGGACAAGATTCACTTTTGTATGTTTATTATTTTGGGGATGGAGTCAGGGAAAGATGTGGTCTGGTTACCTGGTAGTTTAGTGGAACGTCAGCAAAGTACAATATCATTTTCCCTCCTGTTTCAGAAAGAATTGTTTTCCATTGAAGAGAAAAGTATGTTAGTGTATGTTATGACCCATATAATTTCAACATGATAAAGGATGTTCCTAGTTCATAAGTCTAAGGGTTTTAGTTGCTCAGTGCTTCAGCTGTGGCACTTTAAACACCTGTGGCAGGCGTCACCTCACTTCTGTAAACATGCTAGGCTTTGGATGGGTTGAGAAGACTGAATTTTGAAGTTAAATTTATTTTTGTCTGCATTGTTGTCTTAACTTTTGTGTAGTAATAGTAACAGATGGATGTAACTTTTCCTCCAACTTTTTTTTTTTAAGTGGGGGGCAGGAGGGATGGTGAACACTTTTCAGGATTTGTATTTAATTTTTTTTTTGTCCCCGGAATTGAATCCAGGGGTGCTTAACCACTGAGCCATGTCCCCACCCCTTTTTACTTTAAGACAGGGTCTCACTGAGTTGCTGAACTTGTGATCTTCCTGCCTCAGTCTCTGAAGCCACTGGGATTACAGGTGTTTGCCACCAGGCCTAGCTTGTATTTGACTTTTATAGATGTTTTTGGTCAAAACCTAATATGAAGCAGAGAATCAACTTAATCTGTTTATGGCAGAAAGGGCAGTCAGTGCTTAGATCATAGTAAATCCAGGAACTATCAAGTGGCGGAAACCAAAGACAATTTTTTTTTTCTCTTTGTGCCTCCCTTACTGTCTTTTTCTCATTTGCTCTGTGGATTAACTTCAGATTCTTTTCCTGTACATCAGCTGTATTTGATCCAAGATGGTCCCTTTTTCAGTTCACATCAGGGTGAGCTAGTTAGGGACAAAGGGCAAATGCACTCCTGGGCCATGGTTCACAGCCTGACAGCCCTCTAACCTGAAGTCCCTCTAACTGCCTATACCAAATGTGCTTCATTTATCAATCCTGAAACRGTGCCAGGCATATCAATAATCAGGTCCTGACTTAACTCATAGGTTTCTCGCACACGTCGAAGCACACCTAAAGCCCATGAACATATCTAAACTCCACCATTGCAAGCAGGCTATAAAGCTGGCTCCTTTCTCTTGTTTCAGGGAGCCAATCTGTCACTTTCTCTTGTGAGCTATCACTTCTTTTCAAAGTGGTGGCCCCAGTGAGGGCTGTGCTTATATATTTAAACTTCTGTGACTGAATTTTGTTTCTGTTATGAGTCAGAGTTCCCCAAGTTCAGCATCAAGGCAAACAACAGATTTGGGAGAGTTTTCAGAGAGAGGGGAGGGTACTGGCTGAGAAGAGGCAGAAAGTATTATCTACTCCTCTTTGTGATAGCTTCTCAGGCTAGACTGATGTAACTGTACTTAAAGATTAACTGTATCATGGGGCTGGGGATGTGGCTCAAGCGGTAGCGCACTCATCTGGCATGCGTGCGGCTCAGGTTYGATCTTCAGCACCACATACAAACAAAGATATTAAAGTTCTCTCTCTCTCTCTAAAAAAAAAGGGAAAAACTCATTGAGTTTATTAAAAAAAAAGATTAACTGTATCCCATCTTTTCCCCCTGTAAACAGTGATGATGATGGCTTATATCCATTATGATATAATGCTTGGCTTTGGTTTAGGTACTTCATGTGTACATTCTATTTTCAGAATTCTATAAAGAAATTAGGCACAGAGAGAGTAAATAATCTTAGAAGCTCACAGATTGGCCTGGAAATACTGGGATTTTTAACCTCATTCATTTAGCTTTAGTGTCCTTTGCTCTTTAAAGCCCCTGCTATATTGTTTGTTTAGGTTCCTTTAGGTCTAGCTAGAAATCCTAGCCATCTTCTTGAAATTTATGGATTAAATTAAATGATAATCACACACTTCTTATAGGACAGAAGGAAAGCTGACTAAAATACTTAGGAAGAGAAGGGGAAGAAGTATCTAGGACTCTCAAAATGATGGTCTCAGGTTCAGAATATAGTCTGATGGTCAGAGTGTAGACAAGTAATTTATAGAACCCGAAGAATTATGAGCAATAATTGTTTATCTATTTTGTTGGCAGGAAATGGTCAGCTGATCTGGATGCCACATATCTGGATGCTGCTGATATTGCTGCTGGGAGTATTTTTGTTACCCTTCAGGGTCACTCCCTACAAATCAGTAAAGGACTGGAATAATTGGAACTAGTGCTGAATCTGTAGTGGAGGTTGGGAATTTGGGGAAAGTTTATTCAGTGTGTTTTAGTAGCTTTACTTTTTAGGCTTGGGAGGTTTATTTGATGAGACATTCCCTGTTTTTGAGATTCCTGTGTGAGCCAGTATTAGAGATATTGTCTGGTAACAGTAGAATATGGCAACCCTACACTGCCATTAAGGCTCAGTGTTCAGTAGAGTACCAGTCCACCTCTCTTCCTATTCTGGGAGAGAGAATCTGAACTGCAGAATTTGGATGACGATCCACTTCTGTTCTAATCTATAGCTAGGGGGTTAATAGTCATAGCATACAAACCTGACTTAGGAAATGATCCTGATGGGTTAAGGGAAAGAAGGAGGCAGTTCTCTGAGAAAAAAGTTCTGGCATGTGAAATCAAAGATGATTATAATACTGTGTCATGTGTTAGAGATTTTCAAGGTGCCAGAGGAGCTGGATTGCAGTGGGATACTCTTGCTATGCAGGAGACTGAGGCGGGAAGATTTCAGTTGGAGGCTAACTTGGGCAATTTAGTGAGACCCTGTCTAAAAATTTTAAAAAGGGCTGTGAGTGTAACTCAGTGGTAGAACACATTCCAGCAAGTGTAAAGCACTGGATCCAATCCCCAGTACTGGAAAAAAAAAAAAAAAAAAGAAAAAAGTGCCAGAGAAAAAAATTCTTCAGTTTGCCAGCTACTTGTTTATAGCTCTTATGTTGTTAGGTCTTGAAGTGAAGGTTAGCTAGTTTGTGAATTGATAAGTTTGTGAATTATCTAGTTCTGCATTAATGTGGCACAAGATTTAATAATCTGCATTTCTGTCATTGCTGCCTTGCTTCCTCCCCTCAAAATAGTATAGAGGAGCCAAGCCCTGAAGTGGTGAAGAGGCAGAACAGTTGGGTTTTTGGAACCATATACCTCTTCAGCCAGAGCAACTTTTTTCTTTCTTTCTTTCTTTTTTTTTTTTTTTAGTTGTAGTTGGACACAAATCTTTATTTGTTTGTTTTTATGTGGTGCTGAGGATGGAACCAGGGCCTCACATGTGCTAGGCGAGTGCTCTACTGCTGAGCCATAACCCCAACCCCCAGAAAGAGCAACTTTTTTCTTTTTTAAGAGAGAGAGGAGAGAGAGAGAGAGAGAGAGAATTTTTTTTTAATGTTTTTTAGTTTTTGGCGGACACAACATCTTTGTTTGTATGTGGTGCTGAGGATCAAACCCGGGCCGCACGCATGCCAGGCGATCGCGCTACCGCTTGAGCCACATCCCCAGCCCGAGCAACTTTTTTTTATACTTGTTTTTCTCCTCCTGTTGGCATAATTTCAATACTGTGGGTTACTGGTAGCAGTCATTCTTACAAAGGTCCTTGTATTTAACCTGGTCAGTTCACTCTCCCTGCCTCTTTCTACTCAACATTGGGGAGGGGGATCTATTAGTGACTTTTTTTTTTTTTTCCCTGAAAGGATCTCCTTATTATTTATCTTGTTCCTTTCACAGATTGAGAGCTTATTCTGTATGTGTGCTTTGGAAAATGAGTATAAAGATACGTGCCAGAGTCTGAGTGTGTATTTGGGTTGATGAAAGAGCAAATGATTATGACTTTCTTCATAGCTGTGGGCAAACCAGTTTACCAAAGTAGGTAAGTTTGCTGTTGTGCCATAATTTCAATATCAGAGTTGGGTCTTTTTGGTATTGGGGATTGAACCCAGGAGCAACTTTTATC